AGCTCCAGGTCAGCTGGTATTAAAGAGAGAGACTGGGATAATCCCAGTTGCTTGATGCACTGGAATGTGTGTGCCTTGATGGCTACATTTCTGAATGTTCATGAAAGTACTGGGATGCATTTTGGGACCTGCCAGTGCTTCTCTGTGTGGGTGGAAATCATACAGATGCCAAAGCTTATCTCATGTACTTCATCCAGCCTTGGGGCTACCAGCTGAATTTACTGATTCACACAACTGAAGACACCAAGGGCACCAAGATGCATAAGCGGGAACAAATGCTGATCACCTTCCCCTTCTGACCTTAAATCACGCTAGTGAGTATCTTGAATAAAGGAGAAAGCTTCTAAGAGTGAGAGATTCTTGCCTTGTTCCCAGCACACTGAGGAATTGTTCTCAATTTTCTTGTGCAGCTGCATCTGCCCTTCCCAGCAAAGAGGGCTTTTAAAAATGGAATTGTGTTGTCTCAAATCCACTGGTGATTCTGAAGCCACTGTAAGTGGGTTATTGATTACAAAGGGCTGAACACATCTGGTGAGCTCATGTGTGAGCCTCTGCCTTTTGACCCTGCTGGTTTGCTTCTCTTTGAGGCCATGGGCAATTTTCTCAGCCAGCACTATATGGTTCTTAATGTTTGTTTTGCTTTGAAATGAAAGGAAATATGAAAGTACATGTTGTTATTATTCTCTTCCTTTAATCTTTGCTCAGAAGTTAGTCCTCTCAGACCTTTAATCATCTGTCTTTTTCTGAATTCCCCTCAATTTAATTCTATCTTTCTGGTGCTCAACTGCTTACAGATGAATGAGGACTTGTATTGCTTTATCTTATTTTTTTCCTCATTAGAATGCTGGTGAAAGCCCATGGTCACAAAAGACGGACAGTAGTTTAGGCCTTTTTTGCCTTTTTATATTATTTAACCCCTTTGCTCTCAGAGCTCTATAATAGATATCACAAATGGATATTGTAATTCATATAAATTGGAAGAGAAATTGCACTGGGCTAATGGTTGCAGGCTGCAGCCTAACCACTACAAAGTCAGGGAAAAAAACCACTCGAACCACTAAAAAGTGAGAAAATGGCAGAGTTTAGGCAGCCTGTTCAACTCTGTCTGATCATATATTTTTTACTTTTTATGTAGCTGCTGTCTGAAAGGTCATTCTTTTATGTGAGTTAAACATTGTGTCTGCTACAGTTCTTTTTCTAAACTATTTTTGTTTAAATTTTCTTTTTAAAAAAGTGAGGTTAGAATGAGCACAAATCTGAGCGTGGGTTTGTTTTATTTTTTATTTTTTTTTAATAATACCAAAAAAACCCAAGGCCTCAAACTGAGAAGTGTCTCCAGCTTCAGGAACAGATAGTGCTTTCTGACATTTCTATAAAGGTGAGACCCTGCTCACTCCTGCACTGTAAGGAAGGAGAAGTGGGGACTCTTAGAGCTTTCCTGCAGAGACCAAATGCAGCCAGCTATGATATGCTTGTCCATGGACAATTGCAAAATGCTACTGATATGTACTGTACCATGTTGGTGTACAGAAAATTTGTTTTCCTTCTTCCCCAGTGATGGAGTTATGAAAAATAAGTCACAGTATCATTAGAATTGCTTTATACTAGAATATATATATACACATAAAAATATATTGTCTGCAATTTATCTTTATATAGCAAAACTGACAAAATATTTTGGCTAGGCTAAAGGGAGAGCAAGCAGACTTTATTAAAAAAGTAAGCAATCTATTAAGAAGTAAATGAACAGATTCTGTTAGACAGAAAATCCAGTGAGATTCACTGGCACTTTAAACAAATGTGAATTAATTGCTTAATAAATGTTTGGAGCAGTAAAGATAGTCAAAATGAAGATGTGTTTTGCGCTCACAAATTTCATCAATTATTGCCATTTCTACATGAAATATGAACTTGTTTTCATGGGATAGAATATTGTGCCAGGAAATACTAGGTACAGATTCAGTTTGTGTAAGAAATGCCCCATCCCCAGAATTGTTCAAGGGCAGGTTGAATGGGGCTTGATGCAACCTGATATAATCTTCGCTGTCCATTGAGGGAAAGTAGAATGTAGAAAATAGCAGGCTCCAGCACGGTGTGGATGGATGGAGGCAGAGATCTCTGTAGTTTGCTCTTGGGGAAAGAGTTTTATTGGGGGTGCAGGAGGGTCCTGCCTCGTGCTCCCAGGCGCAGCACGTGGCCGGGCCTGAGAGGGTGGGGAAGGGGAGAGGCAAAAGGAGGGTCTAGGAGAGGGGGAGCTCCAGGAGGGGAGGAAGTTCCAGGAGAGCGCGTGGCCCCTCGAAGCCTCCTTATAAAGGGGCTTCAAGGTGGGTTGGGATAAGGCATGGGCCAATGGGGTTACAGACACTTGATATTTTAAGGGAGGGATAGAGGTGTGGGGTGAACCATACATATTTTGGGGGGTGGGATGGAACAATCCATTTCACCCCAGGACCCATCCAAAGGCAGGGGTGTCATCTGGCCAGCTGGGAGAACTGTTCTCATCCTGATGTATTATTTATGAACAATCATATTTATCTATCACCCGCAACAGTAGAACTAGATGGTTTTAAAGGTCCATTGCAACCCAAGACATTATATGATTTCTGATTTCTATGGTAAGATTTTAGACTTATTGTTGAATTATTTTTGTGTAAGCCCCCACTAGGAGACAGACTGTATTTTGCTCATTTTACATAACAATTACTATGCCCCCATGACTCCTCTTTATGACTGTGGTTCCAATCTTGATTCTACAGCTGCTCACTCCAATTCTATCCTCAGTAGTATTCAATACTTTTCCCCATCTAGTATGATTGCGCCTCTCGTATAGCAGAGATTACTTGATAGAGCAGGTTTTACTCAGAGCAAATTACAAAGCCCATTTTTTGCAAACCTTGTCTGACTGCAAGTTTCTGGCTAGCCTTGTTCCACAGAAATGGCAATTTCAGCTTATGGAATTACAAAGCAGCCAACTAAGTGAATCCTCTGTGCTTTCTTCTGTGACCACATAAGTACTCAAGTGCTTTTCTCTGTGCACCAGTGATCATTATTCCAGCAAAAGCAACCCGTGGCTTTCTCAGAATAGATAAGGACCTTTACAAAGAGACTGAGGTTTTAATATTTATTTTGCACATGTGCATACACATGCAAATGTGGCTCACACATCATTTTTAATGAAAACACTCGGGCAAGATAGGCTTTAAAGTTAGAGCGAAAGCACCGTTCTACTGTTCCTTGACTGAATACTGTCAACCCAATTAATACCCTGATAACATCAGTGATGCCAGCTGAATGCCACTGCCAGAGGGCAATTTCTAGCTTATTTCTGTAAAGTATTTATCTAGAGATAATTAGATATTAACCTGATATATTTTACTTGCTGTTGCAATACAAATTGACCTGGCATTGAACCATATATTACAACTGTTCCAATTGTACTAGGAGCATTCAAACCAACTGTAAAAAATTCCCTGTAATAAGAATTGAGAAACTTACTTTCTCATGGCAACTGTCCTGTAGCTTTTTGTTTTAAAAACAGGTTTTAATTTTAATGTGAAATTGAATGTTCATAGTAATATGAAAGATAAATTCTTATAAATATAAATTCTTACAAATATAAGTTAGTATGGCAAGGTGGGGATCAGCCTCTTTTCCCAGGTAAGGAGTAACAGAACAAAGAGAAATGGCCTCAAGTTGTGCCAGGGCAGTTTCAGGTTGGATATGAGGAAAAAATTTTTCACTGGAAGGGTTCAAGCATTGGAACAGGGTGCCCAGGAAAGTGGTGCAGTAACCATCCCTGAAGGTGTTAAAAAAATGAGTAGATGTAGCACTACATGATATGGTTTAGTGGGCATGGTGGCATTTAGTTGAAGACTGGACATTTTTATCTTTGAGGTCTTTTCAAACCTTAATGATTCTGTGATTCTCTTTTTCTTGATGTACATGACAAATAGAATACATAAGAAGTTATAAAGTTGTAAAAGGAGTTAGAAGAAAAGTTTAACTTTAGCTGTTCCTAAAGAGAGGCAAGAGAGACTTCTGATATCTGGCCAGAGACTGTGAGGACAAGCACAAACCCTATAGAAAGGTTTACCTCTGAGTCCCAAGGAGTATCCAGGTAGATCCAATCTATCTTTTTCTTTCTTATCCAGGAGAAAGTCCATGGTTATTAAATCAAATAACGTACAGTTTATTTTTTCTTTGATAAGCCAATTATCTCACTAGACAATGTGACACCTTTTGTGTGTGACCATCTGACTGAAAACTTCTTGCCCAAGGAAGGGAACACTTTTTTCCCCCCATCTCCTTAAGTCATTATGTGCACAGGTTTCAATGAAATTGTTTTCACTGCTGGATCTTGCATATCTGATCATGCCCCATGGAAAGAAATGTGATAGGAACATCTGAACAAGATATTTTAAGACCTAGCTTATTGCTTATTCTTGATTGAAACCAAACATTACCCAGCCACTTCTGAATGGCAACAGAATTCTGAAGTGATGAGTCCACAAAGTCTTCCTTCAAGCTGTGCACCCCACTTGAAAAAATTACCAAATGCACCTGCCGATAGGGCTGAGAGTGATTCAGGTGCCTTGGATGGGTGTCAACAAGTTTCTCTTAAGGTATTTTACATTTGCAAGTTTCTAGGTTACTGGTTAAAGCAATCTGTGACTTCTCCCTGTAAAAGGGTTTGTTCTGTTGATATTCTTCAGGTGTGCCTGTAACATATTTTTTTAATCTCTTCTTATAATATTATTCCTTTATGTTTTTATAATTTTTTCTAAAGGCCTCTTAAAAATGAGAATATGACTCAAGAATCTCATAGAAATTTTAGAAAAAAATGTCTAAATGTTTTTCTAAACTCTTGTATTTTCTACTAAAAATGTAGTACATATTTATCATTATGATGATAATGTGTAAATATGTATCAAAGGAAAACACCAGGGAGCCAAAGCCAATATGACAAATAATGTCTTTTACTTGTTCCTCTTTACAAACAGATATTCAAGAGTTCTATGAAGTGACACTGCTAAATTCCCAGAAAAGCTATGAGCAAAAAATAGAAGAAGCAAATCAAGTTGCAGAGAAATGGGAGAAGACGACATCTGCTACAGACCATGAAAATCTGCAGAAAAAAAAGGAGGTAATTTAACAGATTAAGAATTAAAATATATGTATTGAGTGAGAAAAGCCATGCAATGGTGTATAAGATTGAAAGGATGGGTTAATTAAAGCATTAGGTTAGGGTGTGGGATATATATATACATATAGTGTTATCCCTCTGATCTTGATTATGTCGCAAACTTCTTTATCCTTTCTATTGCAATCTGTCAAAGGGAAAGTAGAAAACGTTTGTTTTCTCATCCTTGATGTACTTTATCTGATACTTGGTGTCTGTGATTACCCCCCAAAAGAGAATATATGTTTTCTACTTGCTGATAACCACTGAGGTTATTAATAGTCCAGTGATTACAGTCTGCGTAAAAAATTTAATAGGACTTTTCACATTTCTGTGACTGACATTGGGCCGAACATTTCCACATTCCATGTTCACAGAGATCAACCAAAATAGTCTCTGCATGAGCAACAGATACATAGAAGGTTGCACACCTTTGCTCTTCTCCTGTAGCCAATGCAAGCATTCAAATCCTTTTTCACTCCCAACTCTAATCTGCTTTTGCCAGCCTCCAGATTATTATTAACTATATTAGCAATCTAAACTACTTGCCTCCACCCACATTTGTGCTTCAAAGATGAAAATAAACCCCACAGAAGAAAGCAATGCATTGCTCTGTTCTTAAACAGTGAAACAGAAATAGGGTGGGCATGGAGCGCAAACTGCAAATCTCCAGACCAGAATCAAAGATGAGAGAAGTGTATAAATATTTTCATTGTTGTCATGGTAAGTAAGGCATTTCAATTTTTAAAAGTTGTTAGCAAGAAATTTCCCACAGGCATAACTATTTTTAAGAGCTTTCCTCCTTTTTAACAATGTAAAACTCAGATAGAAATTGTAGTTCTACATGACATTTTAGATGTGATTCTTCAAAAAGATAAATCAGAATTGAAGGTGGCTAGAACAAAACTCTCAGAAGAAATGAAGAAATTTATTGTAAAAATTAATTAGCAAAAGAAACTTGCAGAATTAATGAGAACAAGCGTTCTGGTTTTGAGTGAAATCAGAACAAATGAGTCTTAACACTAATATCGGATATATCCCATAAATGATTTAACATTTGACTCTCAGTTTGAAGGCACAGACAGCTAATATCTGTCTTTTTTTTTTTTTTAAGCACAAATCTTTATGCTTTAAAATGGTGAAAGTGTGTTCCTGTTATCTTTTGGTGCATCTGACAAAGACAGCGGACAGACTCTCTTTTTATTCCAGTCTCATCGAAGTATTTGACCCTCAACCTCTTCTTCCTTAAGAAGAAGAGAGGTGTTCTGCTGGTCCTATACAGGGGAATTTGAACTCTAAATTCTATGCTGAAGATAATAGATACAGGGCCAACTCCAAACTTTTCTCATTATATGAAAAAATGTTCTGATTGAAAGGAAAACAATAGAAAACCATAGCATATCCTGGAATAGCCTTTCTAAGGCAGGGTACTGGCAGTCAGAGTCCAGGGTGCCATATTCAAATTTGCTGTCTTTCCATAAATTTCATCAGGGTAATGGAAGAACAATTTTATATATATATATATATATATATTTATTTATTTTTATATATGTATGTGTATATATATAACCAAAATATACGTTTATACATATATAAAAATATATATGTATATACACACGCATATATATAATCATATATATTTTATGGGTCAATTGCAGGCAGAAGAGACTGGAAGTGTAGGTTTTTGGTTTTTTCCTTATGACAGCCCAACATACTATCAGCAGTTCTGAGTCAGAACTGATTCTTGCAAGCTGGATGTACAAGCTGTTGTACAAATCCAAGATAGCCTTTTGCTTTCTATGAAAAATTACCATATGAAAATGTAATCAAATAATCCAATATATCACATCAACTTTTATTCATGGTCCATCCCTCATGGGAAATGATTGTTTTGTACTTCCTTTTCCATCCTCAGTTACGTGTCCCAAAGTTGGAAAGAAAAAGTTTCCCTTCTTTCATAGAATCGTAGACTTATGGAATGGCTTTTGTTGGAAGGGACCTTAAAGATCATCTAATCCTGTGGGCAGGGATGCCTTCCACTGGAGCAGGTTGCTCAGAGCTCCATCCAACTTGAACGCTTCTAGGGATGGGGCAACCACAACTTCTCTGGGCAACATGTGCCAGTGCCTCTGCCCCCTCACACTAAAGAATTTCTTCCATATATCTAATCTAAACCTCCCATTTTTCAGTTTAAAGCAATTCCATTGTCTTATCACTACATGTCCTTGTCAAAAGTCTCTCTGCAGCTTTCTGGTAGGCTCCTTTCAGATACTGGAAGGCTGCAGTTACATCACTCCCAAGCCTTCTGTTCTCCACACTGAACAATCTCGATTCTTTTAGCTTTCCTCATAGGAGATGTGTTTCATCTCTCTGAGGTTCTTTGTGACCTCCTCTGGATCTGCTCTAGCAGGTCAATGTCCTTGCTGTGCTGAGGACCCCAGAGCTGGATGCAGCACTCTAAGCCCAAGGATTATCAGAAAGTCCAGACGTCATCCTCTTTTCATGTCTTCCACTGAAAACCTTCCTTGGCTGTCTGTATGCAATTTTTTCAATATAAATTGGTTCTTTTTCTGTCTTAATTATTGATAAAAAGAAAGAAGCTTTAGTGTCCAGCACAGGTGCTCTGTGAGCCCTCCTTTGTATTTATGTACTTGCTTTTCTGAAAATGTAGATTTTTAGATAAAAGGTGTTTGGTCGTTTGCAATACTGTACAAATTTGCCATCTTGCACCTGTGATTACCATAGTGGTTTTTAGCAAACTGGTGCTAGATCTCACATCATACTGGAGCTGGATCTTCATCTCTTTAAATAGATGTGAAAGGATCATGACCATCCTATAATCTCCTATCATTCTCAGAGAGTGCCTGAGAAGAGAGATGTCTCCCAGACTCAGCTCAGAGACTGTAATTTTGAATGGCCTTTGTAAAAGCAAGTGAAAAGTCAGTGGAATGTATTTTAGTGGGTTTTTTTGGTTTTTTTTTTTTGTTTTTTTTTCCACTTGCATGCTTCTAGCTATATTCTGTGCTATTTAGGTTTTAATCCTGAAGGATATCCTAGTACACATGAAATGGATAAATGTTTAGGTATGGCCTATGTATTTAAACACCACATCCTTGCTTTTCACTTCATCATTAACAGCTTTGTTGGCCGTCAGAGTAAACAGTGACTTCAATGTTTGCAGATGAAAAATGCAGTATTTCTTGTCATCACAATTATTATTGCATTTTGCCTTCTATAGAGACTAAATATATGTGTCAATGTATCTGGCAGAGCTGTAAATATCATAGACCAAAATAATTCAAGTGGGTGGGTGTTAATGAAAAGGAAGAAAGAAGGACCCATATGAATGTGGTTTTGGTGTGAATTTATCCATGTTGCTTTCCCTCCTGTAAATAAAGCTTAAGTTGGTGGATAGTTTCAGAATCAATAAAACAGTTTTTAGGCCATGTTCAGATTCACTAGAAATGTTTATTTGGTTCTTTTTGCAAAGGCTTTTTTTTGTTTTATATATTCAGATAGAAAGCAGGGAATGTAACATATTGGGCACTAAATGAAAGTCCAGCACATTCATTATGATGTAGGAACTCTAGAACATAACTCTTGAGAGGACCTAAATTACCCCTGTTGTCCATTCTCTTGCTCTGGGGCAGATCAACTGCATTTGAGATATTCCTGACATGTTTACCTACTCTGTTCTATAAAACCTCCCACAGTAGAGAGTCAACTGTTTCTGTAGGTAACTTATTTCCTCACTGATGGAAGGTCTTTCCTGATGACAGACAAACTGGAGTTTCTCTAAGGAGAATTAGAGCCCATTATATTTCGTTCAAATAGCAGAAGACATGGATAAAGTTTTATTCAGTCCTGTTCCAGAAAGCACTTAAACACATCACAGAATCATGCAGCACCGCAGAATGGTTTGGGTTAGAAGGGACCTTAAAAATCATCTAGTGCCAGCTCCCCCTGCCATAGGCAGGGATATGTTCCAGTAGACCAGGTTTCTAAAGCCACCTCCAAATTCACATTGAATACTCTAAGGGATGCGGCAACCACAGCTTTCCTGGGTTCCAGTATCTCACCATCCTCATAGTGAAGAACTTCCTCATAATATTCAATCTAAACCTAATATCTCTCAATGTAAAGTCATGACCCCTTGTCCTATCACTACATGTTTTTGTAAATAGACCCTCTCCATATTTATTGTAGCCCCCTTTAAGTACTGAAAGTCCTCAATGAGGTCTCTCTGGAACTTTCTCTTCTCCAGGCTATACAACTCAACTCTCTCAACCTCCTTTTCATAGGAGAGGTACTCCAGCCCTCTGATTGTTTTCTTGGCCTCTTCTGGACCTGCTCCTACAGATCCACATCCTTCTCATGACAGGGATCCCAGAGCTCAGTGCCCTACATGCCCCTATAACAACAAATGCTAGGTTGTAATGAAAAATCTTGTCTTTTGGGATAGCAAATATTTAGTTGTCTTAGACTCTTCTCAAAGGAGCTATACTTAGAGGTGTGAAATATTTTAGTTTCTAAAACAAAAATCCTTGAGGCACTATGAAAAGCAATTAGTGTTGATATCTCAGGCACTATATCTCCAACTATATTAAAAAAAAATCTGGAGACTACTTTGCAAGATTTATGTTTTAATGAAAATACTAACTCAGGATTTGGGAGCAGCAGGTTTTAGTTTCTTACTGGTCTGTGTACTTCCTGAAGGACTGTATGTGAAGTCTGAGAAGAGAACTTAAGAATTAAATAATGGAAGGGAACTGGGAATTACAGTGTCTGAGGTATCTCACTGTATGGAGATGTGAGTTACAACCATCTATGGGGCACTGCCTGGGCAGAAACAGTTGTTCAGGACTGATGTCCACAAAACACAGCATAGACCTGTAAACTAGTAAGTAATGAATTCCAAATATGGGGCAAGGTGTCATGCCCTTAAAATATGCCTCATCAAGATG